AGAAATTGACGAAGGGGAATTATCTCTTATGGAAAGCCCAAGTGATGCCCGGCCTGCGAGGAGCGCAGGTCACGGGGCTTCTAGATGGATTTGACACCGCGCCCCCATCCACGGAGGAGCAGCAGCAATCAGACAAGACCATGGCCAGGGTGCCAAACCCACTGTATGCGCCATGGCTACAGAAGGATCAACATGTCCTCAGTTATCTGCTGAATTCTCTCTCAAAAGAGATTCTTGCACAGGTTATTGGTAAGGAAAATACCTATGATCTATGGACTGCAATCACCACAATTTTTGCATCGCAGTCATAGTCTCGCATTACAAATCTGCGGATCGCCATCACCACCACAAAGAAGGGAACGATGTCCAGCTCCTCCTTCATCGCAAGATGAAGAACCTCGGGGATGAACTTGCAGCAGCAGGCCGTCCAGTTTCAGACCCCGAGATGGTAGACTATGTACTCGCGGGTCTCGGCCGTGACTACGATCCAGTGGTGGCAGCCATCGGCGCTGTCAACACGTCTATTACTGTCGTCGAACTCTTTGCCCAAATATCCGCCTTTGACCAAAGGATAGAGATGTTGGGTGATGGGGCAGAAGGTGTCGGTTTCAATTCTTCAGCAAATCTGGCGTACATGGGTCGTGGCCGCAACAACAGAGGCCGTGGCCGAGGCAAAAGGGGGCGTGGCAGAGGAAGGCATCCTCCCACTCCTTCTGGTGCCAGCGCCAGTAGTGGCAGAACCTACAGAGGGCGTCCACAACAACAGCAGCAGCAACATCAACAATCAGCTCGGGACTACCCCGAGTGCCAAATATGTTACAAATATCATGCAGGAGGTGCCTGTGCGTGTTGGGATTGCTATGAGAAAGATGATTATGATGAGAAGGAGGCAAATGCCGTCACCAACAGCTATGGCATCGACACCAACTGGTACGCGGACACTGGAGCAACAAATCATATTACGGGTGAGCTGGACAAGCTAACCATCAGGGACAAGTACCATGGACCGGACCAAGTTCACACCGCAAGCAGTTCTGGTATGAAAATTACTCATGTTGGTCGTTCAGTTGTCAAAACCCCCATGAAAAATTTGCATCTAAATAGGATTCTATATGTTCCTGAAACTTCAAAAAATCTTGTCTCCGTTCATAGGTTTACTCTTGATAATCGTGTTGTCATTGAATTTTATCCTTACTTCTTTTTGGTTAAGAACTTGGACACGAGGAGAATACTTCTTAGGGGCAAGTGCATGGGAGGTCTGTACCCACTTATATCATCATCATCGCCATCATCAAATAAACAAGCTTTTGTCGTCATCAAGCCGTCTTCTGCAAAGTGGCATAGTAGATTGGGTCATCCTTCATCAGCTATAGTTAAACTTGCTCTTAGTGAAAATAAGTTTCCTCATGCTCATGAGTCTAGCTTTGAGTCAGTTTATGATCCATGTCAGCAAGCTAAAATTCATCAGCTACCATATCCTATTTCTACCAGTATTTCTACTGCACCCTTACAACTTGTATTCTCAGATGTGTGGGGACCAGCTCCTGTTTCAGTTGGTAGACACTTAGATTATGTAAGCTTTATTGATGACTATAGCAAATTTACTTGGATCTATCTTCTTAACAAACGATCTGAAGTGTTTCAAGTTCTCAAGAATTTTCAAAATCTTGTTGAAAGACAACTAAACACTAAGATCATTGCCATGCAAACTGACTGGGGTGGTGAATACAAGAAACTCAATTCTTTCTTTCAGCAACTTGGCATCTTGCATCATGTTTCATGTCCACATGCTCACCAATAGAATGGTTCTGCAAAAAGAAAACATCGCCATGTTGTTGAAGTAGGGCTAGCCCTACTAGCAAATGCATCTATGCCACTCAAATTTTGGGATGAAACATTTTTGACTGCCACATATCTCATAAACTTGCTCCCTAGCAAAGTCATCAAATTTGAAACTCCTATCACACAACTTTTTGGCATTACTCCTGATTACAAATCACTTCGTGTGTTTGGTTGTGCATGCTGGCCTAACCTTAGACCATACAAAACACACAAACTTGCTTTCCATTCAAAGCGATGTGCTTTTCTTGGATATAGTCCAATCACAAAGGAGTCAAATGTCTAGATATCTCCACTGGTAGGGTCTACATATCTCGTGATGTCGTATTTGATGAATCTGTCTTTCCTTTTGCATCTCTTCATCCTAATGCCGGAGCCCTCCTTAGGAAGGAAATTCTTCTTCTTCCATTTAACCTTCGAGATTTTGATCATGGGGGCGACAATTGTACTGACCAAAATGATGATTCTACTAGTTCTTGTATTGTGCCTATACCTGTGCAGGCTTCTGGAGAAGACACAGAAGAAAACTGTGAAGAAAATGATCAAAATCTTGCTGAAAATGATGCCATATTTGATGTACCAGAAGAAGACGAGCTGGGCGCTGAACACGAGGAGTATCCCGCGTCACCTGGAACTCCTGTTTGCCAGGATCCCTTGGATCGCGCGTGGGAATCAGCGCGGGATCGCGCGCCTGGCAGGAGCCAGCCCAGCCAGCGAATAGGCGCCGCGTCACCCTCCACAACGCCGGGCCCGTGCTCCACGCGCATGCATGCGCCAGAGACAGCGACGGGCCGCTCAGGATCGCCTCGCCCCACGCGTGTGCGGACAACTACGGGTTCTGGATCTTCTGCGACTTCTGATTCAGCACAGCGGCCACACCGCAGGTCACCAGGTTTAATTCTGGCTCTGCTGTGCAAAGTGGATCCGGTGCTTCTTCAGGATCCTCTGCGGCTGAATCTGTACTGCCTCCGTTACAACAAACTACATATCCTGTTCAACCAACAAGCTCGCGTGTCACAACTGGACTACAAAAAGGTATAAGGAATCCAAAAGTTCGAACCGATGGAACTATACCATATGGCATGTTGTCTATTGCAGGGGAACCAACAAAGTTAGATGATGCACTTGGAGATCCGGGGTGGAAAAGTGCAATGGATGAAGAGTACTATGCACTAATGAGAAACAAAACTTGGCATCTTGTGCCTGAGCAAAGAGGTAAAAATATCATCGATTGTAAGTGGGTTTACAGAATTAAAAAGAGAGCAGATGGCTCAATTGATAGGTATAAGGCGTGTCTTGTTGCAAAAGGTTTCAAGCAACGTTATGGTCTAGATTATGAAGATACTTTCAGCCCCGTTGTTAAAGCTGCAACTATTAGGCTTGTACTGGATATTGCTGTGTCCAGGGGTGGAGCTTGAGACAGCTAGATGTTCAGAATGCGTTTTTGCATGGTGTTTTGGAAGAGGAGGTTTACATGAGGGAACCACCTGGGTATGAAAATAGAAAACCCCGTTATATGTGCAAGCTTGATAAGGCGCTTTATGGCTTGAAACAAGCACCAAGAGCATGGTACTCAAGGTTGAGTTCTCAGTTGAGGCAGCTTGGTTTTGTTGCATCCAAAGCTGATACATCACTCTTCATTTATAACAAGGCAAACGCAATTATATTTGTGTTGATATATGTTGATGATATTATAGTTGGAAGTTCTTCACAAAGTGCCACTAATGCTCTTCTTCATGACCTAAGTTCAGAGTTTGCTCTCAAGGATCTAGGTGAGACCTACATTTCTTCCTTGGCGTTGAAGTTAAGAAGGTTCAAGATGGCATAGTGTTGAATCAAGAAAAATATGCTACTGAACTACTTACACATATGGGTATGAAGGACTGTAAGCCTTCACCCTCACCATTGTCTTCTTCAGAAAAACTTTCGGCATTTGAAGGTGAACCACTCAAGGAAGAAGAAAGCACAAAATACAAGAGTGCCGTAGGAGCTTTGCAGTATTTAACTTTGACACAGCCAGATATATCTTTTGCAGTTAACAAGGTTTGCCAGTATTTGCATGCACCTACTACTACACACTGGGCAGTTGTTAAAAGAATCATAAGATACATAAAGCATACTGCAAGATTTGGTCTCCAGTTCAGACGTTCCAATCCTACTCTTATTAGTGCTTTTTCTGATGCTGACTAGACAGGATGTACTGATGATAGAAAATCAACTGGAGGTTTTGTAATATTCGTTGGCTCTAATCTTATCTCCTGGAGTGCTAGGAAACAAACCACAGTTTCGAGATCAAGTACAGAAGCTGAGTACAAATCTCTTGCTAATGCCACTGCTGAGGTTATCTGGATGGAATCCTTGATTGCGGAATTGGGGATTAAGCAACATCGTGTATCTTGTCTTTGGTGTGATAACTTAGGAGCAACATATCTTTCTGCCAACCCAGTGTTCCATGCCAGAACCTAACATATTGAAATTGATTTTCATTTTGTACGAGAAAGGGTTGCAGCAAAGAAACTGGAAATCAGGTTTATTCCATCAAAGGATCAAGTTGCAGATGGATTCACTAAAGCTCTTTCAGTCAAGGCATTTGAAGAGTTCAAGAATAATCTCAACTTAGGATAGTTAAGATTAAGGGAGGGTGTTAGCGATACAACGGCTGTAGCGTTTCCGGTGTAATCTCTATGTAATCGTAGTAGGTTGTAACTCTCTTTCCTCTCTCGATTCCTCTTGTAACTCGTACGTATCCTGGAGATCGTACGCAAACTCTTGTACGCCACGACAGGGCTTCTGTCTCGTATAAATAAACACCTCGCGGCTCACATCAGGGAGTAGGAACGCTTCCATCAAATCTTACAAAAGTTCATGCGGTGATCACGGTCACCGCTGACACGCCATGCCAGGACAAGTGCCATCCCACAAATCCAGAATTACTACTAGTGAATGCTAGCTTTGGGTTGATTCCAAACGGTACAGCTACAGGACGAAAAGAACGCAACGTTGTAGTACAACATCAGTTGGAACAGAAAATGAAAAACACAACACTTGCTGCGTTGTGGGCCGAGCACCCCTCGACTTATTAAGTTATTATTATACATAAATGAAGAACGCAGAAGATCATTGAACAAGCGACCGAGAAGAGGACAATGATGTACGCACAGTCAGAACTTGGCTGAAGCATCTGGTTTGAGGAATGGAATTCCGAGCGTGATGATTAGGATCCTGACGTGGGTGACCAACTCACCTCCGGTGCTGAGATGCTTGGTGTGGAATGGAGCCCCGCAGTTTGGGCCGAGGTAGCAGAGCATCTCGACCCACAGCGTGGAGATGAGCTCCCAGCGACGGGATGGCGTGCTGATCCGGAGGAGATACCCGGCGAGGGCCCTCGCACGGCTGAAGCACGGCTCCGTCACCTCACTGCCGGGCCCTCGCACGAACTGCAGGAGCCCCCTCTCGTCGAGGCCGGGTCGCCTTTGGAGGACTGTCCTCACGGTGCGGAGCGCCTTGCCGATCTCGAAGTTGCCGTTGCTGCCGCTCATCAAGTTGCGCTTCGCGACGAGGTACATGACGTACCTCGAAAGCTCTAGGCTAATCTGAGCTGTGGGCGGGGCCGGGGATTGGTCGGCGTCGGCGAAGAAGCACATCTCGGTGGTGATGTGCCAAATCAGGGCCGTTGCCGGAAAATACAAGGCGCCGTCTGTGATGCCATCAGACAGGATTCCTCCAGCTATGTCAGCTTCTTCCTCACCAAGGCTGCTCTCCAGCTCCCACTGCAGCCACTGACCACGGTACTTGCTGAAATCCCAATCCCAGTAGTCATTTACACTCCGGGTGGTTGCAACCTGCAGCAGTTTCTCCAGGACGAGTTTCTTCAGCTCGGTAGAAACCTGCGTGTGGTTGATCCCAGAACCAGAAGCCATGCCTGTCTTCCTCACTATCCACCCTCGTAGGCCGGTACGCTCTTCTTGTCGGATGCACGTGTCAACCAAGTTGTACTGTGCCATCTTCTCCGACCACAGAGGCTTGCTCTCTGGATGAACACGGCTGACTAGGATGAAAGCTGCTCCAAACCATCTTCTCTGCCGTAACTGAGGCCAGTATGATGACATGACCAGGAACATGGAGGATATATCCAGCGCGATGGCACCAGCTAGCAGTACATAAGAAACTACCATGTCTTCCCTGCTGTAGTACTGGGGTATTGACCCCTCACCAAGATTTGCCTTCAAGAACAATGCTAGGGCTGTGCAGGTTGAAGCAAATGTTACCAACCGCTCCATCCAACTGCTGATGAGGCTGAGGCGGAACTGAAACGCTCCATACTTGGTATAGAGGTAATCATAGACAAGTGAGAGCTGGATCTCAACAAGCTTATAAGCAACCTGCACTCGTGCCTCTGGATTTGAACCTTCAATCTTACTGACGGCCTGCCTGATGATGCATTCCTCGTTCTGAGGCCAAATTACGAAAGGGGTCATGTCCGTCAGAAAATCCAAGCACATCCGTAGGCCCTTACCAGCAGCCCTCACAAGCCCCTGATAAGCCATATCATCGAGACCACCCTGCTGCTGCTTCTGTTCCACCCCTGATAAAACATTCGCCAGCTCAGAAAAATAGGATTTTGCATCGTCGATGACGTCGTCTTGTACGCGCATCACATGATCGGCCATGGAAGAACTTCCGGGTGCCATTGTGCTGCTGGCTGTCATAAGTGCCCAAGTTCTCTCTGCATACTTGATTGTCCCAGATATGAACATCAGTACCAAAGGTGCCAAGAGCTTCTTGTCCGCGCGCCATGACTTGGCCACAATATACACTGCAAGCACAACCTGGGAGACGAGGCCCAGGAGGTGGCGTTTCCACAACGCAGTGTCCTCCATGGAGAAGGCCGCGATCGTCTCCTGGCCACCGAGGTGCAACAGCAGGAATGGCGTCCAGAAGAGTACAAGCTGGTGGCGTGGGTCATCGATGTGCAGCGTCAGGCGGCCAAGGGTGAAGGTGGCGACGTAGTCGGCCAACAAGTATGCCAGCCATAACAGCAAGCTAAGGAAACGAGACATGTTGCGCTTGCGAATGCTCCCGAACAAGTGAAGGCAGACTTGCAAGGAAAAGCTCACAAGCACCAAGCATTGAATCTCCCACTTATTCCAGAGTTGATTGACACGTGCCAAGCTGATCAGAAACCAAAGAATTTCAGAAGAACGATTAGTTTATGTGTTTTAAGTTTTGACATTGCAGCAGCGCCACAGCCCAAAATTACTGGGCTTTTCAGATGGATCAAACTAACAAAGACACACTATTCATGGAGACACGTAAATTATACTAGCGTTGGCACTGAAAGTGGCATCGACTCCTTGACACTGTGGGCTTAGTATGAAAACTACGATAGCATCAAAACAGAGTTCAAAGTGTGACAGTCAGTTTGATCTACGACAGAATAACCAGCTGTTATATAGCCGGTTATAGTATTAATACTACTTGATTAGACCCGCAATGCTAAGAAATAGACCCCAAAAAAGATGAAAGTCAAGAAGCTATTCCAGAGACAGCCTCATTGGGGTGAGACTAAACTATCACTGAATTAATGGTGCATTAAGATCCGAGGCGCGGAGACCCCACAACGAAATTGTAAATCCCCCACTACCTGTATGTCTTAATTACTAAGCATACTAAGTCAACTCTTCAACATTGAGGTGAGACTAAACAATCATGGAATTAATGCTGCATTGAGATCCAAGGCGGGTGTGTTCCTTACAAAGCATAAGGCTTAGCCCAGCAGCAAAGGCCAAAACAACAATTGTCGAAACTTCCGCTCTTCGATCTGGTTGTCACAAATCGGCGAGACATAATAAGTAAAATAAAAAAAGCACGTCCGTTCAGCAGTTCTTTCCTAATCTCATGTGCAACAAGTGGCTGATAAGAATAACACCGTCCTCGACGCCACTTGGCACATGCGATGCGACAACATAGTATATCTACCATGTTTCAATATTAGTGATAAACTGTAGTTCAACATTGTTTTTCTTATCAGTCCATAAATTTGGAGTTTATCTATTGCTTTTTCTATCACTCAAACATTGATATAGATACATAGAAGACATTTTGCCAATATAATGGAAGAAATCTTTCATTATTATATATGTGGTGATCTATACTGGAAAGAACTAGTACTGAAGTTGAGTTTAGATAAACTTATTTATTCATACGCTTTCTAGTCGTCATACAGCCAAATTTTAATTAACGGATATGTAATTTATTTTATTGCAGCAAATTAAGAAACTTTTCATTTTTTGTTTTGAATTTTAAACTATATTACCGAAGAAAATTATGTAAACTTAATTTATTGTTTGTATGGATATTTCTTGGCACCTCTGTGACTAAATCCCGACTCCGTCACTGATTGAGGCGAGACTAATATTTGCTGATATGATGGAGTCTACGTGTACACAGAGGCAAAGATGAACTTTGTGTTACATCTCAAAGGGAGAAGAGGAAGCTACACCTTGAGCTGGCTACTTGCTGGATGGCCAGTGTCGGATGGACATGGGAGAAATGAAAAATATGTTTTTAATTAGATTTATAATTATAGTACAATATATATTTATTCTACTATAATTGCACGTATACCTTATGTAGTAAGCTTGTATAACATCAGCAAATTGCTTTCTAAAGACGAAGCATAGCTGGCTTATTACGTTTATTTCAAAGATACATTGCAACGGGCAAATGCACGGTTAGTCTTTAATCTTAACACATTTACAGCAACGGCATACATGCTTTTAACTTTACCTTTAGCTAGCCTTCTTTATCTTTATCTTTAGCTAGCGGCCTTATTCTATATCTTTGCAACTAAAAAAGTAAAGCCTGGTGGTTGTAGTAGCAGTGACCATAGTCACCTCATGCATTGGAACCATCAACCCACTCAACCCCATTTACTGAAAACACCATAATGACATTTACAATTTATTTGGCTTATTTCTTATTTTAACAATCACACTGTATTTTTTGAAACTATCGATCAACTTGACATATTTCATATCACTATAGGTTCTACCGCTGCACCGCCGCCGCATAACCGCGCTGTCACCCCCTCATGCAACCGCACCACCGCTGCCACCCACGTTATAACTGCTGACGCATGAGGGTGATGAGGACAGTTCACAGATAGAACCGGTAGTAACATGTAGCAGAGGCGGATTTAGGCCCGAGCGGCTGCCTGGGGTGTGAGGGCGTTTCCATTCGTTGACTGTAGCCACAACACAGTACTGTAGCTACAGTGCTTCGAAGCTTGCCGTTTTTCTGGGTCCCCACTGATATGTAGTACGTATATACCATTGCTACCTGTTGGTGTTATTATGCTATTTAGTTCTTTTTTTATATATGTATATAGTGATCGAACGCTTTAGTTCCGCTATTAGCCTTCAAGTTCGCCAGGGAGAGGGCCAGTACAAACCACTATTAGCCTAGAGGCCCAGTCTTTATAAAACTGCCATGCTACTTACTAAAAAATCTTGCCTAAAAAAACTTAATAAAAATCTTTTACTAAAAAAACTTAATAAAAAGTCTTCTGCTCAGGAAAAAAAACTTAATAAAAAATCCAAATTAATTTATATATTTTGAAAAAATGGTAGTACTAAAAATAAAACATGCCTTTTGATCCGATTTGTTTAATGAGTTTCGCCATCAATATGTTTTTGCTGTGAAAAAAAAGCCATGTTTTAGACAATATTTTTTCTTTATTTTTGCCAACGACCAGAGGCAAAATGTAATGCTGTTATTTTGTTTGCTTCATTTGTTCCATTGTGCCAAAATTCATAAAAAATGTGAAGCGAGTGAAAATAAAATAAAAATTGCCATCCTCTTGATAATAAAATGCCATGCCAACAATAATAAAAGTGCCATGCTGTCAATAATAAAATTGCCATCCTTTTGACAACAAAAAATGCCATGTTACTAATAAATAAGAATGCCATACTCTTCATAATAAAAATATCGTTCTAATAATAATAATAATACCATGTTACTAATTATCAAAATTTCATGCTCTTAATACAAAAATTGTCATGGGGGCATTACAGATAGACAAAAATGTCATGCTTCATATTATAAAAAATGCAAATGGCAATTTTGGAAAAAAACCCTCTAAAAAAGGACTTTTGCTCTATCAATAAGAAAAGAATACGAGTGGGGTTGGCCTCCCAGGGAAAGGTCACCAAATAGCATTTCGCAAAAACATCCCTTGACCGTTGGCATTATGAACCGGCAGGAATAGTTTATTGGCACCGATTAAAAAAAAGAAGGCATGGAAAAGGGGTTTTCGGAAAAACCTATACTGATGTAGTGCCTGTTGTTATGACAAACAATATGAATAGTATTTGTACCGCATAATTTTACCCATCGGTATAAATACTTTTATTAGTACTGGTTCTATCCTAACCGGTAAAAGAGAGGGAAACCTGTTTCAGATTAGTGTTTTCTGTAGCAGTGAAGCCCGGACATAGCTAATCCTAGTCCATTTCCCTTGTCAAATTTGATGCCCGCTGGGTTTATGTCTTCTGACAGGAGTTCGCTTAGTCGCAGAAGTTTATCATCGTACTTTATCCTGGGTCTTTTGTTTTTGTTGGGCTGTGGCTTGTGAGTGTCATCAGGTTTTCGCCCCATGGCGGATGGTCCGTTCCAGGATCATCCTGCGGTGGGTTTCCTGATGATGCACCAACTCGCTCCCCCCCCTTTCAGTCTCATTTAGCTCTCAAACAACTGGTGGTGGTGTCTTCCATTCTGTTAGTGGCTAGTGGTTTGGTCTTTTAGACAAATTGGATACAGACTGATGTATTTCCGTTGATTGCGAAATTAATGGAAAGGGGTTGTGAGCCCGGTTGGAAAAAAAAATTCCCTTGTCAAAGGGTGGGCATAAAAACCGACCAGCCGAAAACAAAACCAAAACCGAAACCGAATTTCTCAACCTGTAGAAAGAAATTCAATTTCTTGCGAACCGAATGAAATTCAAATTCAGTTGGTTCGATGTTTATAAATGAGTTGAAGCTGGAAAGATCGAATTCATGAGAGCCCTCTCAAATCTCGAGCGACCATCCCCGTCTCCCGGCCCAGTTAGAGCGTTAGAGGCCCATCCCCACGCCGAGACCTAGTAGCCAGCACCCCTACCACTCCGACCCGACTCAGCAGCCGCCGCCACCGCGTTTCCCTCCTACCCGGCCACCCCCGACGTCGACTTCCGGCGGCTGGCATCTCCCGCATCTCCGCCATCGCCTTCTTATCGGCCGCCGACCGTCGTGCCGTCGCTGGACTCGCTTGACGCAAGGAGAGGACCAGAAAACAAGGACCGGCCGTCGCTCAATCCACCTTCAAGGTTTGACAGCATCTCAACTCGAAGTCACAAGTCCTAACTCTCAACCCCGGCAACTCTCTTGATGTTACCCCAGCCATCCCCGGTTTGCAACGATCTATTCTGCCGTCGCGGCTGCTCCCGCTGGCCGGCGGAGAAGACTACGTCGACCTGGCGAGCTAGCGGCGACGGCTCCCCTAGTGGACAAGTGTCGGGGTAGCCTTGAAGGGGAGGATTGGGGGCCAAAATGTATCACAGCATACTCCATCGACGAATGTTTAGCGGTCAGCTAACGAGCTAGAAATATCGCAAGATGTATGTATAGTATATATGTTACCTCATTTTGCAGCGCTGCTTGCTCTGCCCTCGTGCTATCGCTCCTTGTACGTCTACTGGCGAGGACGCTCTTGACTCACTTGAGTGTGTCGAATGCCGAATGAGTCTTTAGAGGCTAGCTACTCTCCTCTGCTTTATTTGATGGGGTTCAAGAGCTCCAGACACACGCCAGTGCATCGGTCCACTAGCACAGTGGTCAGGATGAGACCGCATCTCAGCTGCCAAGGAGGAAAAAGCTACCATTCGTAAAAAAAAAGCAAAGACCTGCTGAGATCATAATGCGACGTCAGCGGAAATATTCATGGGTGACGTATACTTCCTTGCTCAGCTTGTGCTAGTAGTACTAGGTCTTTAACCAACTGTTTGAGTTCCCATGCGACCTATAATCAATTATTGCAATGACCTTATGTATACGTAAATGTTACTCTCACCTTTTCAAGAAGTCTGACTTTCATGACAAAGCTAGGAACTACAATTATTTTCAAATGGTCCTCCAACCAGACTCCAACACTAATTCTCATAACGAAGCATGACCTACGGAACCAATGGTTGGATGGTTAGGATGACAATGATACCTCCAGCCTACCAGAGGTCAAACCCCATGTTTGACGTTTTCGTGTCTCATAAAAAGCAGAATATTATTTCAATGTGAGGCGATGTTCGCGTTGATAATGAGATGGCGCTCGTGATCTCGTCAATCTCAAGACCCATCAACCCAGTCATTTGGAGGTGCTCGTAGGGTAGGATGTGCATACTTGCATTCATGGGTGAATGTATATATGTATGTATTTGTGAGCGTCTATATCTGTAATAAGTTTAAAAAATTATAAAGAAAAGAAGAAGAAAACATATACTCCATCTGGATGGGAATATAAGTCTGGCATCTAAACTTAGGTAATCAATTTA